AGTTAGTTCTCACTCCCTACTCCTGTGGCCAGGTTCTCTGGTGACAGCTATATTATTAATTAGCGTAGATCTGTTTACATCCAGCATGCCCATTAATCACCCTATCAGGAAGGTTGTCTAATTAATTAACCACCATGGGTGGTCACAACAGCCAAAAGAACCATTTCAGGTACAGCAAAGCACATCATTTGTCTGGTCCTACACATTAGCTATCTCCTCCTTGTAGCTCTTCCTTCCATGCTTTCTTCTCTCCTTGATCTCTGTATTAGCTCTACTCCTGAGGATACTCCTACTCGGCAAGGACTTTTCATTCTTGGAGAGTTATGAAAACAATGTATGGGTCTTCACATCCCTTTGACGGCTCCTTTGGTCGCTTCATTGGAATAACTTTCCTTTTCAGTTGTGTGGAGGTATTTTCTCAAGTTCACATATTCATATCTTTTTTTCTTTTTTCTTTTGGTTTTGGACATTATAATACATGATGTGTCTATGCCAAGTGTATTCATCCAAAACTTCCTTTTTACTGGTCCGTCCTTGCTTGCTTTCTTTCCTTTCCTTCCTTCCTTCCTTCCTTCCTTCCTTCCTTCCTTCCTTCCTTCCTTCCTTTCTTCTTTCTCCTCCTCCTCCTCCTTCTTCTCCTTCCTCTTCTCCTGTTGACTGCCAATTGCCAGCAATTTGGCAGCTTGATTCTCACCAGCTCCAGGTCAACTCAGCCTTCCATCCTTCTGAGATCGGTAAAATGAGGACCCAGATTGTTGGGGGGCAACAGGCTGACTCTGTAAACTGCTTAGAGAGGGCTGTGAAGCCCTGTGGAGCAGTATATAAGTCTAAGGGCTATTGCTATTTAAGATGGGCAGATGCTTAGACAGGCCCATGGCTAAAGCTGCCACTGAAGGACCAACCTCTTCCTGTTTCTTTGCTGTCTTCTGATGAAAAAAGACTTTGGTTGAATTATAAAATCATAAGGTTGGAAGGGACTTTGAAGCTCTCCTAGTCTAACCCAATCAGCAAGTTTGCATTCAAGACCCGAGTCCTGCTGTGTGACGGGTGAGCTCCCGGCATTCGCTCCAGCTCCTGCCCACCTGGCAGCTGGAAAGCATGCATTTGCAAGTAGATAAATAGGTACCACTTCAGTGGGCACATAAATGGGGACATGAAAGGAGACCCCCAACCAGGTGCCCCCCAGGGAACGGTGATATCACCAGCTAATCTGTCACGGTAATGATTTAACAGCTAACCAGCTTATGTAATGTAAGATATAATGATGGGAATGACTCAGCAGGGTCTGGATCTCTTTAAGAGCCTTTGTATAAAGGGAAGACTCTGTTGATATGTTGTCTCTCTTCCGTTTCCTGCTGTAATTGTGGTTTGTTTGATCCTGCTGTATTAGCACGTGTATGTATATTGTTCCTGGTGTGTGATAGTGTAAATAGTGTAAGATAATATAGACCACAGTTTACTGTATTTACTCCTGGGTTATCTCGCGCAATAATTTGTGCAAGCTCCAACATAATCCTTTCAACCCAGAAGTGTCTCAGTGCTCCCAACGTGAGCGGGATGGGACCCTTAACCGAGGGAAGAAATCTCAAATCTTTCCAAATAATTGGCTGCTTGAAAATTTTCAGTGATGGAGCATCTATGAGGCAGGCTGGTTCCTTTTCCTCATGGTCAAGAGATGCTTCCTTATATCAAATTTGAGTCTTCCTAGGCTTCAATATACACATAATCACAGTGTCATGCTGGATTTTGTGTAGCTTTTTTTAAAAAAAAAAACTTTCTGCATGCATTTTTTTTTTTTAAAAAAAAAACCAATCTATACATCTGGCTGCACAGTGAAACTGTAGCTGTGCAAAAGCTTTTTTGTTTAAATAAAAGACATTTTTCATATCACATTAAACCTTCCTTTCCTGCTACAAGCCAGCAACAGGTGCATATCCCAAGCTTATTTAACACCAACAGATTAGAGATGAAAGAATTGCAGATTTTTCTGTATCTGAAAGAGAATACGAAAACGGACGTAGCAAAACACTGCCACCTCCAGTTACACAGAAGGCACAGTTACAATCTCTACCACACAAGACTCCCCACTATTGAAAAATATAGAAAGCATATAAAACCCAAATGAATTTGGAGGCTGCAAGATGTTGCAAGGTTAACTGAATATCAGTGAGGTCTGGAAGAACAACAGAATCGAATCGAATCGAATAGAATAGAATAGGGAATGGAATGGAATAGAATAGAATAGAATAGAATAGAATAGAATAGAATGGAATGGAATGGAACGGAACGGAAGGGAATGGAATGGAATGGAGGAATGGAATAATGGAATAGAATAGAGGAAGGAGGAAGGACTGTTCAGTTTTAATCCAGATAGCCAGAATAGAATAGAATAGCTAGGAATAGAATAGAATAGAATAGAATAGAATAGAATAGAATAGAATAGAATAGAATAGAATAGAATAGAATAGAATAGAATAGAATAGAATTACAGAATAGAATTACAGAATAGAATAGAATTACAGAATACAATAGAATAGGAATAGAACAGGAATAGAAGAATAGAATTATAGAATAGAATAGAATAGAATAGAATAGAATAGAATATAGAATAGAATAGAATAGAATAGAATAGAATAAAGAATAGAATAGAATAGAATAGAATAGAATAGAATAGAATAGAATAGAATAGAATAGAATAGAATAGAATAGAATAGAATAGGAATAGAATAGAATAGAATAGGAATAGGAATAGGAATAGAATAGAATAGAATAGAATAGAATAGATATTGGAATATAGAATAGAATAGATATTGGAATATAGAATAGAATAGAATAGAAATTGGAATATAGAATAGAATAGAGAATATACAATATACAATATAGAAAATGGAAGGGAAGGGAATAAATATAGAAGTATAGAAGAGAAGAGAAGAGAAGAGAAGAGAAGAGAAGAGAAGAGAAGAGAAATAGAATAAGCGGTCACTTCCAACTTTGAACTCCTGTAGGTTGAGATATATGAACCTGCCCCTCTGCACACACCTCGACAATTTTTTACTGAAGTCTTCAATAAATATCATGGCACCTTGCCATGGATAAAGTGGACATTAAAAACCCAGCACTGCCCGTCTCAGCACTTTGGGACCGCTGCGCTAACTCAGGCACAATTCTGTGTCTAAAAAGTTGGATTTTGTTAGGAAAGTTGGTTAAAATGTGGCTTAAAACCTTGCTTGCTCCTAAATTGAGAGGGATGTGTGTGAAAAAAAAAAATCAATGGATCTGTCTTTGCACAGCTTGATTTCGATGTTATCCCCACAGACACGACCGCTGAGCGTTTTTTAACATCTGAATGGGTAATAGAAAAAAAATTAATAATCTGACAACGGTTTGAACTTTCGCACATCTAGGCATCCTGAAAGACGTGGGTATTATTGCTTTAGCAACAAGGACACCGTTTAAGGTTTCGGTGGAAAAAGATTGAACGTTGTGGCCGGTGAGCAAATTCCCAGGTAAGATTTAAGAGGCCTGCTGATGAATATTAAGGACTAAATTATAAAACGGTAATTCTGCTTAAGAGGGTTCGTCATAGGAATTTGAGTTTTATGCCTCAATAAGTAAGAGTTTTATACCTTATAATCACTGCAGCTAGAGTTTCAATAGAGAGAAAAGTATTCATTTCCCATTTCAGCCCTCCTGACATTTTAAAAACAAGGGGGTTTTGGTCTTCATGGTGCTTCTCTGCTTTATTGTCAATTGTAAAATAAAGGGATGGAGGCAGAATAAATGTAATTGTTTGCCTGCAATTAATATTTACTTATTTATATCCCGTGATAATGATAATGATAATAGCAATAATAGATCAACTGAACATTCAAATTGGCGATTTGAATGTTCAGTTGACTGAGGTTCATGATTAATGAATAAAAGATAATAATAATAATAATAATAATAATAATAATAATAATAATAATAATAATGCAAACAGACAAGCACTGCAACATAACACTCCAGACTTAACAACTGTCAATAAGAAAGACAAAAAAGTCTGGATAGTGGATGTGGCAATGCCTGGAGATAGCAGAATAGAAGAGAAAGAACTGGAGAAGATAACAAAATACAAAGACCTACAAATAGAAATAGAAAGACTGTGGCAAAAGCAAGCAAGGGTAGTACCAATAGTCATAGGCTCCTTGGGTGCAATCCCAAAACAACTGGAGCACCACTTGAACACCATTGGCATTGACAAATTCGCTATTAGTCAATTGCAAAAGGCGGCCTTACTAGGAACTGCTTCCATCCTGCGACGATATCTGTAATACCATCAAACATCCACATCTGCCTATCCCAGGTCCTGGGTAAGGACTCGATAGGTAGACAAAATGCCAAATCCAGTCTGAACATCTGGCTGACTGTGCGATGATCCATAATAATAATAATAATGATAAATCTGTGTTAAGTATTTCAGGGACAAGCTATTTTCCAAGAAGCAAAGGCATTTGGGGTGGGGTGGGGGAGAAAAATTCTAAAGGTTCTTTCACAACAGGATCACCTTTAAAACCAAACCAGTCCAATTAAGGATTACCAAAACGAGGCGGAAAACTTGGAATTTTGCCCCCAGCCCTTGAATTGTCTGCTGAACTTTCAACTTCCTAGCTATGGAAAACTCCTCAATTGCTCTAATTTCTGGCAGAGCCTTATTTCCGCTTCTCCCGGGAAGTCAATATTTGTGAAATCAATATTGCAGTGTTCAACTGTATTTTCTTCCCTTGGGTAAACTCTTCCAATTAATACGACTTTTGAGCCTCGTGAATTCGTGAAAAGGAGTCCCTCCTTCGCCTCCCCAACATCTAAGCTAGTTCTCTTTCCTATTCTCCTTCTCAAACTTTCCCTTCCTAATTGCCCTGCCGCTCTCCGGATGTACATTAACTTGAAGAACCACTTGGCATTTGCTTCAATGCAAATAGGCACGTAGGAAAGTTGTATTAAGTTTGCACAATCTGTACCTTTTAAAATCTCCTGTAGAGTCAGCCTGAAATACTCCCAGCGACGGCCGTCATCCACGGGAGCCGGGTCACTTTGGGAGAAGCCGTTCTCGGTGATGTAAATTACAGGGTGATTATACGTGTCCTGCAAGAAGGGAGCAGGCGTTTCGTTCAGAGCAGATGTCAAGAAAGGCCCATAAAACCAGGTGCCTCACCCTCCATCTACTTTAAGCTACCACTGCAAAGTACTTTTCATCAAATTGCACTGACCCTATTAACTTAATTTTCCACCAGCTGACCTTTTATGATTAACAGCGGAAAAGCAAAACTGTGCAAACATCCATGAAGGAGGAATTACTTACTTTAATGAGAATATTGAAATATCTTTTTTGTTCTGCATTAGCATCTGCCTCGCTGGCATCGCATTTCAACCCCCCCCCCCATCCTCGCAAGGCGCAACAAACACCCCACGGCCCCTCGGAAAGACACACGGCCTTCCTGTGCTGTGGGACTTCCTGGGGATTTGAGCAGAAATGGCTGGGCTTATGGGTAAGCGGTTCAGAGCTAGGATGGGATCTTAGGATCGCGTAAACACACACACGGGACGCTCATGGGACTTTTCATACGTGACTGAAAATGTCAGGGAGGAATGGTGTCTTCTTGACTATCTAAGTTCCCCTGGTCAACAGCTCAGAGTGAGTGAGGCTGACCACAAGATGAATTTGGACCCAGAACTAGAGATTTGCCTTAGGGTTTATATATATTAATAGAGGGAGTCCAGCTATTCTCCAAAGCACCAGAAGAAGGCAGGACAAGAAGCAATGGGTGGAAACTGATCAAGGAGAGAAGCAACCTGGAACTAAGGAGAAACTTCCTGACAGTGGGAACAATTACTCAGTGGAACTCCTTGCCTCCAGAAGTTGTGGGTCCTTCATCCCTGGAGGATTTTAAGAAGAGACTGGACAGCCCCTTGTCTGAAATGGTATAAGCTCTCCTGCTTGAGCAGGGGGCTGGACTAGATGGCCTTCAAGGTCCCGCCCAGCTCTATTCTGATTGATTTTCATGAAGGAAATTTTGGGGTTCAGCTGCCTTTCTTACTACAGGTAGTCCTCGATTTATAACAATTCGTTTAGTGACCGTCTGAAGTTACAGCAGCACTGAGAAAAGTGATGTCGTGCGACTGTTTTTCACCCTTACGACCGTTGCTGCATCCTCACGGTCACCTGATCAAAATTCAGATTTGGTTGCTTGGTGATTGGCGTGCAGACATTAACCCTGACCCTTTGGCAACTTTCTGACAAGCAAAGTCAACGGGGAAGCCAGATCCACTTAAGGACCATGTTACTTGCTTAACTACAGTGATTCACTTAACAACGGTCCAAGGGAGGGTGTTAAATGGGGCGAAACTCACCTAACCGTCTTGTTTAGCAGCAGAAATTTTGGGGCCAGCTGAGGTCGTAAGTGGAGGTCTAGCTGAATTCCCTCTGAGCCTGGGAAGGGAAGTGGTTAGCAACAGAAAAGCAAGAGTAGAATTTATCACCTTGATGTACGTCAACAGCCGCCGTAAACCCCAGGGAACAACTGCCAGCCAAGAATTCCCAGTTGCCACAGGCCAGGATGGATCGATGATTTGTTCAGCTTCTTTGTCTGCAGACAAACTCGGCTGGCTGGGCTTGTGATCCAGGTGCTTAACTTTGCGGGCGGTGTAATAATTGAGGGCAAAGAAATCGGCCGTGCCTTTGATCCTCGCCTTCTCTCGTTCGGTAAACTCAGGAAGCCGGGAAGACGGAGAGCCAGGCTCCGTGCGCGCAGCGGAAATCCTCGACTTCATCGCAGCCGGATAGTCGCCGTGGAGGAAGATCGGGGTGGCGAACCAGTCCAAGGAAAACGCGATGTGCCTCTTGGCAGCTTCCCGGTCAGCGAGGGAAGTCGGATCGAAGGGTTCGGCCCAATCGGAGTCGAGGGCTATGGACACAAGTCCACCCTGTTGTTCCCGAAAGAGTTGGTGGTAAGTGTGCCAAGCTTCAGCATGAGCCTTGATCAGATGGTGGGCTGCCAGATAGCCACCGACACCAGGCATGGAGACACCTGGTGCTATAATTCCCTTTTCATAGCCGTACACGGCAACGACGTGAGGTTCATTAATGGTGATCCACAGCTTCACCCGGTCCCCGAAGGTTTGGAAGCAGAACTGGGCGTACGCGTTAAACGCCTCCACTGTGGCGTCGGATCTCCAGCCGCCTTGATCTTCTAAACGTTGAGGTAAGTCAAAGTGATACAGCGTCACCATCGGGGTGACGCCGATGGAGAGCAGCCCATCAATCACTTGGTCATAATAATGAACTCCTGAGGAAGAGAAGGCCAAAAGGTTGGTGAGATCGGCATTTGTTTCTTTCACGTTGCTCGTCCTCACTGTTCTCTCTCTCGCTGAGCCATCATTCCTTCGGCCTCGCTCCCTTTCCCAAACTGAGCCATTTAAAAACAGGCAGGCCAACCTTATTATTGACCTATTGGGAGGGTGGAAATAGAGCCAGTGATGTGCTTAACGTGAGCGCACAGAGACTTGCAGTGACGAGCCCTGAAGGATCAGGTCAAGAGTTTATCATATTCTATAACAGCTGGTCCACCAGCTTATGAGAACACCACGGAATGGACATAATATAGAAAAAGACTTAACTCCATATGGAGATTCTCAGTCATCTGGGTCATGGTTGTCCCAACGGTGCTTTTTCAAGAGGCAATTGGACTTTCTTGTTTTTCTTTGAAGACCTTTCCCTTCCCATCCAAGAAGCTTCTTCAGTTCTCACTGAATTGGTGGGGAATGGAAGGATTTATACTCCTTGCAGACTGCTGGTCATTTACCTTCTTTTAGAGAGTCGTTGAGGCCACTTGGAGGTTGGTCTGTGTCCTCAGGGTCCACGTGGCCTCAATGATTCTCTAAAAGGAGACAAATGACCAGCTGTCAACAAGGAGTATAAATCCTTCCATTCCCCACCAATTCAGTCAGAACTGAAGAAGCTTCTGGGATAAGGAGCAAAAGGTCTTCAAAGAAAAACAAGAAAGTCCAGTTGCCTCTTGAAAAAGCACCCTTGGGACTTATCTCTATAGCATTTAGAACTGTTTTGGCTTTGATTCCCAAAAGATGGTACTCTAAACATAAAAAGTGTCCTCAGTGCTTTAAAGCAGCTACCTCATTCCCTAGGGACATGGGGCTACTGCAAGGACAGCCATGTGATCCCAAGAAGACATAGCTGCTTTAAAGGGTTGTGCTCTGTTGCTTTATTCATCCGATTCCTTTTTTTTTTAATCAAAGCCAAAACCTCACCCAGCCCAGGTCTGCTTTATTTAATTATCAGCCTATTTCCAAGCAATATCTCCTGTGTGTGAAAGCACCTGATGATTAACACCAATTAACACAGACCTACTTTTTAAAAAATTTTCCAGCTTTCTGTTCACCCGCATTAAACATTTAAGCACACACAAATGTGCACACAGAGACAGCCACACAAGGGCCAGATGTCTTGTTCTGCATTATCTTTATCCAGGCAGTGTTGGGTATTTAGGTAATTCTGCTCTCACAGCTGTACCATATGGCTGGCCTTACTTCAAGTATGCCAGCCGCCCTGTTTTTAATCTACCTTCGGATGCAACAAGATGCCACCAGATGTTGCACGGGCTTCCAGAGAAGCCTACCAGAGGCACACCTTCCTACTACTTTGCAACCAATCAGTTGAGTTCCTTACGGACCCCTTGTTATTGTCCCTCACTTTGCCAAACTCACTTTCCCACAAAACCTCAATATTGGCAGAAACACGGCCGCAGCCACCTGTTGACTCTCTAAACTGCTTAGAGGGCTGTAAAGCAGCAGTGTGAAGCGGTACATAAGTTTAAATGCAATGGCTATTACTATTGCTAAAATCCAACCCATGGATTTGTCAACTTGTCACAAGGATAGCGTGAGAAACTTCATCACTAGCTTTGCTGAAATGAAGATATACTGTATCTACAGCATTCCCCCTGTCCACTAGAATGCAGGAGGACTAAAGAACCAAAGTATTAAAGGAGTCGTGGTGGCACAATGGCTGGAAAGTGCAGTATTGCAGGCTGACTCTACCCACAGCCAGAAGTTTGATGCTGACCAGCTCAAGGTTGACGCAGCCTTCCGTCCTTCCCAGGTCGGTAAAATGAGGACCCAGATTGTTGGGGGCAAATATGGTAACTCTGCAAACCGCTCAGAGAGGGCTGTAAAGTACTGTGAAGCGGTATATAAGTCTAAGGGCTATTGCTAAGTGCTAAAGATGATGCCCATCAAAGATAATGACATCTCCAGCATTTTTTTCATAGAGGACTACCTTTGCAAAAGATAGGTTAAACTTGGCTCCATTAAAGTTTTAATTTAAAATATCTTCAGTGACGTTTAAAAATAAACACGACACTTTTAATAAAGTGTTGGAAGACAACTGGGGAAAAAAAAAAAGACCAGCAAGATGTCTTTTATTTTAGATGCCAAACAGGTAATCAATCAGCTCATGTGATGCTTAAAAAGGACACTGCGCCGAGATTTTTTAATTCTCTTCCTGCTCTTTTGCAAAAAACAAAAAACCAAAAAAAAAAACCACACCCCACCAAATGTAGATGGGAGCGTGGCCTTTCCAAACTTGGCGGCTTCAATTGTTTCAACAGATCACTGCTCAGGAGAAGCGAGATCCTGGGTAATGAAAAACCAGCCTCCTAGAAGGGTTTCCGGCGCCCTTTCGATAAATTTAAAGTTCATAATATTAATCAGAATGTTTATGATGAGAACCAAAAAGCAGGAGGATATTTTTTTTCCTTCCAAAAGATGATGACCGGATTGGTAAACAGGACGATGTTGCTGACGGTGGTCTTAGAAATATGTCTATTAAACGTGTTCCGTTGCTCCAGCATCAAAAAAAACACCCCCTGTATCACCTCTTCTGGATTGAAGTGCTGTCAACCGATAAAGGCTATCTTGAATTCTATCTGCAAATCTGAGGTTTTCTACTGATTAAAAAAAAATAAATCTCTGGGTTTTCTGGCAAAAAGTTCCCTAACTAGAGAGCTTCACGGATAGCAAGCATTCTTCATCTCCTACATGAAGAGGGTCAAAAGAGAGAGGGAAGGAGGGTCTCTTTGGCCCCACCGTTGAAATGTCTCTCTCTCTCTCTCTCTCACACACACACACACACACACACACACCAGGGACACCATGCCTTGTTTGCTCTTCCTGCCTTCCCTGCTCCCCGTCCTACAAAGCCTTTTAGGAACTCAACAGCAGACCTTTCTAGAAGAAAGATCTTTGAACCAGGATTGATAAACCTTTCAATGGGGGCTACTCAAGTTGGTGGAAAATCCAGCTAGCTACGACTCCTAATTCCCATGGCTGCTGACTCCTTCTTGACTCAGGCAGTAGGCAGTTGCCAGAAAGCAACAAGATCTCTTGTCCTCTAGTCTTGGCTGGTGGGCGTCCAGATGCATCCAGTCAGCCACAGGGTGACTCCGAATGCGAGCTGTGATAAACCTGGGACTTGATCCAGCTCCAGGGCTCTTCTGATGTTTCTTGAAGAGGAAGCTTGGGTCGAAATGTTATTTCACATGTGCTAACTCTTGCTGAAGCCATAGCAATACGTATTGCTACAGAGAGGACCCGAAACAGCATAGGTTAACAGAAATAAGAGTTTGAGGTCATGTAACCCAACCCCCATCTAGTCTCATAGAAGACCTATACTATTTCTGACAGAGGGCTGTCCGGTCTCTTTTTAAAAGCCTCTAGTGATGGAGCACCCACAGCTTCTGGAGGCAAGTTCTTCCACTGCTTAATAGAATAACAGAGTTGGGAGGGACTTTGCAGGTCTTCGAGCCCAACCCCCTGCTCAAGAAGGAAAACCTATAGGGTTAGGGTTAGGTCACCATGAACTCATAGAGCAAAATGGACATCGCCAACAAATTCGGGATGCTTGGGTATGGTTAGGAGGGCACAGACTTTTCTAGGCTGCCCTATCTATGTTTCCTGGTAAAATACATGGGAAAATCCCATTGGAGGAAAATTCCACTTAGGGTTAAGGTTATGTCACCATGAACTCGTAGAGCAAAATGGACATCGCCAACAAATTCGGGGTGCTTGGGTATGGTTAGGAGGGCACTTACTTTTCTAGGCTGCCCTACGTATGTTTCCTGGTAAAATACATGGGAAAATCCCATTGGAGGAAAATTCCACTTAGGGTTAGGGTTAGGTCACATGAACTCGGAGAGGAAAATGGACACCACCAACAAATTCGGGGTGCTTGGGTATGGTTAGGAGGGCACTGACTTTTCTAGGCTGGCCTATGTATGTTTCCTGGTAAAATACATGGGAAAATCCCATTGGAGGAAAATTCCACTTAGGGTTAGGGTTAGGTCACCATGAACTCGTAGAGCAAAATGGACATTGCCAACAAATTTGGGGTGCTTGGGTATGGTTAGGAGGGCACTGACTTTTCTAGGCTGGCCTATCTATGTTTCCTGGTAAAATATATGGGAAAATCCCATTGGAGGAAAATTCCACTTAGGGTTAGGGTTAGGTCACCATGAACTCGTAGAGCAAAATGGACATCGCCAACAAATTCAGAGTGCTTGGGTATGGTTAGGAGGGCACTTACTTTTCTAGGCTGCCCTATCTATGTTTCCTGGTAAAATACATGGGAAAATCCCATTGGAGGAAAATTCCACTTAGGGTTAGGGTTAGGTCACCATGAACTCGTAGAGCAAAATGGACATCGCCAACAAACTCGGAGTGCTTGGGTACGTTTAGGAGGGCACTGATTTTCTAGGCTACCCTTATCTATGTTTCCTGGTAAAATACGTGGGAAAATCCCATTGGAGGGAAATTCCACTAGCAGATCCAACCAAACATTGCACTTTGATACTTGGGCATTTTTATTTCCTGTCTCCCCGTCTCAGGACACCCATTGCCCCTTCCTTTTTCCTGTGCCCTGTGCTGTCTTTATGTTTACCTTAGGAATTTCTGCACAATGCTTCTAGCATTCTTGGTGCGGAAAATAAATGATATCTATTGACGGCCAGTATTAAAAAAAAGAACACAAACAGTGAAGTAATAATATCCTAATTCTAACCTCATCTTTAAAGATCACATCCTCAGAAGTACGCTGGAATATTAATTAGGCCAAGATTATTATTATTATTATTTTTAACATATAAATCCCATAATTGCCACGAACAAAGTTGCCATTTCAAATCTGCACTGCGGACTCGAACACCGGCTTAATTGTGCCAGACTGCAGCAATAACCTTGAATTAAGGCAGCACAAGTTTCTATTTTAAAGGAACAATTGCCTTTCTGGTTGATGAAACCTGTCGTCCCATCAGGTAACAGACGTGACCAGGAAAGAGAAAAACGATAATGAGTCAAGCCAAGCTGTTGGATACATTTCAAATCTTCCTCCCACAGAGAGTAGCTGCCACAAGCTACGTCGCCGGTCTGGTTCTTGAAAACTCGATCTCCTCCCTGGTGGGTGAACGTGTCCCAGACGCTGGGGCCTTTCTCATCTGCATCCCAGCCTCCTGGTTAAAAACAAAACGATTGTCACACTTTTGACATGCGGAGAAGACACGCAATGAATACATACAAGTGAAATACTCCGCGTCGCTAGTTCAGACAATCTGCTGCCCCACTCGCTCGCTCACTCACACGCACGTATCTGTGTGGCTTAGTGAGTTTTATTAATATTCCCCAGCAATTCCCTTGACCCAAAACTCAGAACTGTCCCAATTAAGTCTGGCCACGAGCAAGCCGAGGTTAGTCCACGGGTTAGCCTGCTAGTACACAAGGCACTTGAAAGTTACTCAAGCAAAATAACTCCACCGGGCAAAACGTAAAGCTCACGGGGCAAGAAAAGTTTGGAGGCTCCAAGGCACAATTCCAAACACAGGGTCCATCCAGAGTGAAGCAGGGAACACTGCAACCAAACAAAACACCTGGAAAACCAACACATTGTTCTCAGCAACGCCTCCCTCTGTCCGCTGGGATAAATAGCCAGCTCTCCAGTGCAGTCTCTCAAGAAGGGTGAGGCTTTCTCCTCTGGAGTAGTCTGACTGGCCTCCGCTGCTCCTGCCTTTTCTCTGCCCTGGTATTCTTGGATCAGGCGCAGGAGTTCCTCCTCTTCTTCACTGACCATCTGCAACTACCTGCTTTGCCCAGCTGAAGCCTCTTCCAGAGCCATCAATCAACTCCATGCCTGATATGTCAGGAATGGGCTCCCCCGAGCTGACATCTGGGGAGTTCGCCCAAAAGGAGACATCACCAACAGGCCCCCTCAGAAAAACTCCTATGTAAGAGAGCGAATAGGTGACCTGGGTGTTTCCTTTCCATTCTGTACTTCCGTCTTCCCTACATTTGCAGTAAAAAAGTCACGCAAAGAACTGGGCCAAGGATAGGTAACCCTTGACCACAGTGGAGGCCAAAATTTATGTGGCTAAGCAAAACAGCCCCCTTGGATGACCTTTCTTGATTGTTAAGTGAATCACTGAGGTTGTTAAGTTAGTGAGTGGATCTGGCTTCCCCATTGACTTTGCTTTCCAGGAGGTCACAAAAGGGGGTCACGTGCCCCCCTCGGGCACATCCTAGTCATCATCAATACGGGCCAGTTGCCAAGAGTCCGAATCTTGATCACGTGACTACAGGGGACGCTGCAACGGTCGTAAGTGTGAAAAAAGGGTCATAAGTCAATTTTTTCAGTGCCGTCGCAACTTTGTACCAAAGCCAAATTCACTTAATAACCGTGTTACTAATTTTATGATGGCTTACAGGGTCCCTGGGGGGGTCACGTGACCCCCTTTTGGTGAAATTCTGACAAGCAAAGTCAATGGGGGGAAGCTGCGTTCGCTTAACAGTCGTGTTACTAACTGAACAACTGTTAAGAGATTTACTTAACAACTGTGGAAAAAAAGGCCGTAAAATGGGGCAAAACTCACTTAAACAACTATCTCGTAGCAACAGAAATTTTGGGCTCATTTTGTGATTGTAAGCTGAGGACTGCCTGTAAGGTTATTTTTTTTTTAAAGTTTTGTAGAAAAATCTCTTTTAACCGTGCTTGTTTCATATTGAAATGTGTGACGTGACTGATGGCTAAATTCTGTTTTACCCTAGTTGGCTGGTGCTGTTCTTGGAGGGGGATGCTTTGCATAAAAAAAAAGAGCTTAAAAAGTAAGACCAGGGGGACCTTATGCACAACCTGCAAGGACATGAAGAGCCACTGCAAGACTTTACCTATCAGCGAAGACAACATTATGCACAACAAGACACAATAAATAAAAAGATCCGATTCACGTCAAGTTATTTTCCAAATTGTGTCTGTACGGGTCATCCGTGATGTTGTTAGACCTTGCTTATTTTCTCCCCACCTGTTGGGATAAATAACAGCGGAGCGCAAGGATGTGAGGGACTGAGAAGCTGTAATATATTTTGCAGAGAGCAAAAGAAAGGAAAAATGGAGGATTTTGACACAAGGCTGATATTTATTGGGGCACCTCCAGGTTTCCCAGAACGGGCAGATCTGTCCTCAGATAATAAAATATATTAAATGGCCCTTATTTTCCTCATTCACATGAATTCAGATGGTTGTAAACTGGAAGGGAAGAAATGTCCAAATAAATGTGGAGGAAAAAAAAAACCCTACAAGGTTTAATCATTTAGGTTCAACACAAATCATAGTTCCTTTCCCCCATGTAATGGCAGAATTTATAAAGATGAAAAGTCTTCATATAAAAACATGGAATTGGAGTTATTTTATTTTTTAAAAAGTCCATGTATTAATTGGGGGGGGGGTAGGTGTTCTCTCTGAACCCAGTTGCAGATTACTAAAGTGATTTCCAAAAGTGTAGGATTGCTTAAATGTTGTGTTGTTGTTTTTTAAAAAAGACAGTCATTCAGACAAGATGGATTCCTCCAGAAAACGTCTTGGGGCTTGTCCGTCTGTGTCCTTTGAAAGTCTGGAGTGCCTCTCCGAAGGGAAGCGGACGCCATTCTAAACCATGGCCTCAGGCACGTATAGGAGATGGGAATTAATCTAACAGCATCCCTACAAAATGTCTGTTTTTCAGTCAGAAGAGTGTCTGCAAGGAGAGAACGGGGGGGGGGGGCGTTTGGGGAAACAGCAAAGGTTTCCACAAATTAAATTTTACACTAGGTTTCTGCAACCTCTGCATAATTTTTTTTTTTTTTTTTTGCATTCTGAGAGTTTAAAGATATTTTCTAGTGATTTCAACGTCTTTGGTAGAGGTCACTGTTTAAAATGTCATTATGGGCTGCAATGATGCATACCTCACTTTTTTTTTCCCTTCCCTTCCCCCTAATTCTTTTAGAAGAGTATTGCCAGCATAACGCGGCAAAAGGAGCTGCAGTCCAGGACCTTGGCTGTTGCATGAACTAGTGAGCTAGTCCTGGAGGACCTTGTGGTTTTCTTTGCTGCAGGTTGCTCTGCAGCCTGGAGAGAGGATCCCACTGAAGGGTCCTTTAGAAGGGGCTGGAAGGATATGTGGGGGAAACTGACGGTCCTTTCGGGCACTTGGGCTCAGCTGCCAGGGAGCGTAGGGACAAGGGGGAAGGCTGGGTTGGAGAAGAGGGATGTGAAGAAGAGGAAGAGCAGGGGGCAGCCTTGACTAGGAGGCCGTGTTCTGCACCGGTTGAACCCTCCTGGACCAGGAGACCCTACTCAACCTCACCCGTGCTCTCGTGACCTTCCGTATGGAGGACTGCAATGTCTTTTACATGGGATGCCTTTGAGGACTTCAACTGGCGCAGAATGTGGCAGCAGAATGCACAGGTATAGAATAGGTACAACTGTGAGGGGGACCTTGGAGTCCTAGTGGACAATCCCTTGAATAGGAGCCAGCCGTGTGTGGCAGCAGCCAAAAAAAGCCAACACACTTCTAGGCTACATTAACAGAGGGAGAGAATCAAGATCATGTGAAGGGTTAGTACCACTTTATGATGCCTTGGTAAGACCACACCTGGACTACTGCATCCAGTTTTGGTCGCCACGATATAAAAAAGATGTTGAGACTCTGGAGAGAGTGCAGAGAAGAGCAACAAAGATGATTAAAGGTCTGGAGACTAAAACATATGAAGAATGTTTGCAAGATTTGGGTTTGGCCAGTCTAGAAAAAAGAAGGACTAGGGGTGAGATGAGATAGCGTCTTCTAATATTGGAGGGCTGCCCCAAATAAGACGGGGTCAATTTATTTTCCAAAGCACCTGAGGACAGGACAAAAAACAATGGATGGACACCAATCAAGGATAGAACCAACTTAAAACTAAGGAGAAATCTTTTGAAGTGGCTAAGTAAATCCAAAGCTCCATTGATTCTCAGCAGAGAAGATGACCATATTGATTTTAATCCAGACTTGGAAGTTAATCAGGAGTCAAATATACCAGAATACCAGACTGTACTGCTACTCTAAACTATCCTAAAATAAATACTGGCAAATTACTTTGGCATTACGCTCAAGAAAACTACCTGGAGTTAGTTATATGCATCAGATGAGCTTAACATGTAGACTTAGCAATTCTAGTCCTAAGATAAAACTATTTGTGGAAATGTATCCATGCACATAGTTTGTTTTCCCATGCAAGATGCTTAACTGCATTCTAAATCTGGTATATTCAAACAACGACCCTGAAAGAACATATAAAGAATGTAATTATTGGCTCTATGACCAAATAATTGATGAAACGAGAAAACAAGAACTACGTTCTTCAGACTTTTTCTCAAAGTAAACCACATAAGTGTAATAGGAATACTTTAAGGGTGGTAGAAGACCTTTGGTATAATGGTGTGTGGACGTGTGCTTGTAGTGAAGCCAACTCTGGCTATTTCCTAGCATTGAGCAGTGAGCAAAGAACAAAGGGGGGGGGGGGAAACCTGAACTAAAAATTCTGCTCATATTTTATAGAAAGTAATGCTGTCTGAAAAGTTAGAGGGACTTTATGACTTAGAATCATTTATAAATTAAATATCAGCTAATCTCCAAGATGAATATCTATGCCACGCTTTTACATCAGACCTCAATAAAAATGCACTTTAATAATCACTCACTATTACGAAGATTAAAGATGGAAAAGATATATTAGGGAAAGATCCGGCCTAGCCCTTGCTGGGCCCAAATTGCTTCTCGGAATACATTCATCTGAAGACTAAGTTTAATGGAAGGTTAAATATATTGGAAACGGCTAAAGTTTTCCTAGGATGTGAGATTTCTCTCTTCCTCACGGATATTGAGGCACGCCTGGGCTCCCAGAAGAAGAAATGGTGGAATGAAGACATCTCCACAAAAAGAGGAGAGAACAACCGTGAGGGAATGAAGAATTCCTCTCTGGACAAGGAAAAGACTTGAGATTACCCATAAGCGTTCCAGACAGTTGCTCTTCATGAGAAGTTCGCAAGACAGTGGTCTCTGACGAGTTTAGGATGGCTGTCTTATTCAAACCATGGTCAGTGTCTTTAAAAGGACACTGGGTTCAAATACCTCTTTTTCTAACTATTTTCAGAAATTGCTTCTTAAAAGCCTTTCAACTACTAGGAAGTTTTGGAATGACCATTTTTAAAGCACCGGGTGAGCTTTTTCTTTTTCAATCTTTACTGAAAGAAGTTTTAAAATCCAAGTTTAATGACTTGAGATTATTTTTTAATAAATAAATAGTTTTTTTTAATAAATTGTAAAAGCTTTAAAACTTTGATTTAAAAAAAAAGTTACCAATGGACTAAGGAGTCCAGATAAATTTGAAATAAGATTTTGAAATTGCAAGAATCCTTCCTTCTTTAAAATATATATATAATAAGACTTTAAATATTGGATACCAGAGGATACTAAAAGGAACCAAATGTTGCAATTAAAAGAGAATAACATTTAAACTGGGCTTACAGAATGAAACAAGATACTCTAACACTGGACATGTGCAAAGATAATTTTGAACAAAGGACTCAGAAATGAATTTTAATAGTGTCAGAGCCCTCTCTCATTAGTGACAGAAACATCTGCTTCTGGAAAAATGGTGTGTAGACGATATTATGGAACACGTTTTACTTGATAAAATTGAGACTGAGTTGCAAGTAGAATTACAAATGACAGACTATAAGGATGACATGGAAATATTTGTCACAAAATGTATGTTACACTGGACAGATAAAAGAAACCGGATATTGTCTTAACAATTAAAAGGGATATACAAACAGTAAACTAAGAGAACAACTATGGTAATCTTCTTACATTGGATTTACTAAAATTATTAATTTTTTTTGCAAAATCTCGTAAGAAGGAACTAAGAAAAAAGCAATCAAGTTTTACAATATTATTTGATTAAAGATTAAGTTAAAAATAAAAGGAAGAAATATAATTTGTTTTATCTGAACAAGGTTAAAAATATGTATACATTTGTATGTAACCCTTAATGGGCTTTTGCTGACACTGGGATTGAAATGATGGTGCTTTATGGATTAGTTTATGGATAAGGAAAAGTATGCTTTTGTTGTATTTTAAGGAGGTCATAGCTGACTGAAAAACTTTATACATGTGATGAAGGTTGAAAGTCACTTATTTATAACCTAACCCTAACCCAGGGGTAGGCAACCTTGGCTCTTTTATGACTCGTGGACTTCAACTCCCAGAATTCCTGAGCCAGCCAAGGTTGCCTACCCCTGCCCTAACCCTTTTCTCTTTCTTTACTGTAATTTTAGTTTTCATTCTTTTCTCTTTCTCTATTTTTTCCCCTTTCTACACTTTCTTTGTTATTCTTCTGTATTTTTCCAGTTTGCATTTGATTTTGTTGTGGTAACGCTAATCTTTAACACAATTACTGTTTAAAAAGAGAGAGAGAGAGAGAGAGAGAGAGAGAGAGAGAGAGAGAGAGAGAGAGAGAGAGAGAGAGAGACATTGAGCCATGCCCCATGTGCTTCCAGCAATGTGTTATCATTGCCCAAGTGCCCTGGTGTATCTATCCAGGTTTATCTCACATATTGAACTTTAATGTATGATCATCCTTACAGGATGTTAAAGGATGTCAATTAATCACATCAATATTCTTTCAGCTCCCCTCAAATCTGCCATTTTCTTTTAATTCAATAATTCTCGGCAAGCCTGCTTTATCAGTGGAAAAGTTTCCTAAGTTTGATATCAATTCAATTTCTTCCCAGACAAAGTGTTAGCTATTTGATGCTTCAAACTTTTACTTACCTGCGATCAACTAAATTGAAAATTAAAAAAAGATAAAGCAGGACTATTTGGTACATTTTGGAAATATAATTCTTGGGATTTATTTTACTTTAGCAGCCAATGCTTCCATGTTTTTTTCCTAAGATATCATGGGGAAGTCTACAATGCAATGTTTTGAAGGAGAAGAGAATGAAGAATCCCAAGTTCCAGTAAAATAGTATCTATTCAGCCCTGCACATTTCAGAAAATGTTCCTTACTGAAAGATACTTAAAAACATTTTTTTAAACAGTGTTGCAAAAGGACTTGAATTGTAACACTAAAAAGGCTATTCAAAATAATTCATGAAGTCTAACAGAATAGTCCAGGTTAACAGATCCAAAGTTTAACAATATGTCTGTAGGTACCAGACACAAGAATTTTAAATACAATGAGCACAAAATGAATTGTTTACAAGAAACACAAATGTATATCTTACACCATGCAGCATGCTTTTCTCTATTGCAACTGGAAGTAAAAAGGAAAGAGAACACCAAATAAAAAAAGTTATTTTTTCTTTTAAAAAAAAAATCATTTACCTTCAATCTGATACGCTGCTGTAGCTGAGCCCCAGGCAAATTTTTCTGGGAAAATCATACTTTCCAGACTGCAGAGGTCATCGTTTGGAGAGGAGACAACATCAGCAGAAACTGGAGCAGAATCCATGGGAAGGCTGGCTGTTGTGTCCATCAGTAAGGTTACTTCTACTTTTCACCCCCAAAACAATATCTGGAATTAAAGGATGATCAGAAGTACAAGGAGAGTTTTAGCCATTGGGAACAGATCTTGCTTCACCGATAATCCGAAGGGCCTACATTCAGACTGTAGGATTGTCCTTCAAGAGCTGTTTTGTGTTCAAGGAACATCTTAATCCAACATTTCTTATCTATGCTCACCTCCCCGAAGGAAGGGTCCTGTCCAACACAGAACAGGATCTGTTCTTTTAAAGACGTCCAAGTATGGAATGAAGGAAACGCCACACCCCAGTTCTAGAGAATCTCAAAAATAAAGTACTGGAGCTTCCCAGAAGACAAGCATTTTTAAAAATGAAGGCTACCCCTTTTAGTCACCAACCTGTAGGCAGTTGGCCAACAGAACAGAACGAAGAGGCACCAAGTGGATTATTGCAGCTCAAACGTGAGTGGGCCAAAATCCCCCAGAGAGGTCGCATGGTTGAAGGTGTCCCAAAGGTGCTTTTTCAAAAGGCCGCTGGACCTTGAAGACGTTTCCCTTCTCATCCAAAGAGCTCCTTCAGTTCTGACTGAATGGTGGTCCACCAGTCAGAACTGAAGAAGCTTCTGGAATGAGAAGCGAAACGTCTTCAAGGAAGAACAAAGAAAGTCCAGTTGCCTCTTGAAAAAGCACCTTTGGGACAACCGTGACGGAGAATCTCCACAGACATTGTTGAAGGTGGGCTTGAATCTGGATCCACAATCCAGAGAAACCACAATTGGCTTCTCCAGGGAAGAGGTTTGAAAAACTTGCTTGTGTAGGTCTTCCCTTTGATGGGTAGACTTATACGGTGGGCTGTGACGCCGACAAATTCTATTCCTAGTAGAATTCAACTCACGTGGAATATTGGATGCTTAGAGGGATAGAAAATAAAGTTTCCTAACTTGCAGATAATAAACACCGCAAAGAAAAGCCTCATTATATAATAAAAGCAAGAGTAGAGTGGAAGCTGGTCCCAGGAAGGTCCATGGGGATCGGTTCTGCCTCAGGAATCCAAGTTAATATGGTTATCACTTTCCTACTTTCTAGGGGATAACTCAAGAATATTAGTTTGAATGTGTTACTGCACAGGCCAAACCCTAGCAACAGCTTGGCTAGGAACTATTTTGTGACTGAACGGGGAACACAAGCAGGATGGTTCTCAACTTACGACCACAATGAAATCCAACATTTCTGTTGTTAAGTGAGTCTTGTCCCATTTTACGACCTTTTCTCACTGCAATTGTTAAGCAGAAGGCTGCCGTTGTTCAACGAGTAACACGGTTGTTAAGTGAATCCGGCTTTTCCCACTGACTTAATTGTAAAAAGGTTGCAATAGGGGATCACCTGACCCCGGGGCGCTGCAACAGTCATAAATGCGAGTCGGTTGACAAGCGGCCGGGTTTTGATCACGTGACCAGGGGGAGGCTGCAACGGTCGTAAGTGTGAAAAACGGTCACGAGTCACTCTTTTCAGCGCTGCTGTGACTTTGAACGGTCATTAAATGAACGGTTGTATGTCAAGGGTCGTGTATTTGAGACGGGTGGCTGTATAAATGGAGTAAGTAAATAAATGAAGTGGTGAGTAATATCTGGGAGAATATCTGCCAATCGTGGGAATCCTCTGCAGTCAAACAGCATTGTTGTGTCACCCCGAAAAGGCACCGTATTTCCTACCTTTAGTTCTGACACATCTGTTGGCAGAGAAGAAAAGAGAGGATCAACTGCTGGGTGGAAGGAAGGGTCAGTCCTTCAAGAGCCGAGATGTTTTTAAAATACACAGCAGATGGCACCATTGCAATTGTATTGTTTGGATCCTGGAAATATTATTCCTCTTCTGTTAGGATAAATCACACACACCCCTATAGATTTATGCTCAGGTCATTATTCATATTCATTAAGCCACTGTGTGTGTGTGTGTGTGTGTGTGTTCTTTCTTTCTCTTCCTTCCTTTTTCCTTTTCTCCTTCATCCTTTTTTTCTTTCTCTCCTTTCTTCCTTTTTCTTTCTCTTTCCTTCCTTTTTCTTTCTTTCTCTCCTTTCTTCCTTTTTCTTTCTCTTTCCTTCCTTTTTCTTTCTTTCTCTCCTTTTTCTTTTTCTTTCTTCCTTTTTTCTTTCTCTCCTTCCTTTTTCTTTCTTTTTTCTTTTTCTTTCTTTTTTCTTTCTCCTTCCATTCTTTCTCTCCTTCCTTCCCTTCTTTTTCTTTCTCTCTTTTCTTTTCTTTATTCCTTTTTTCTTTCTCCTTCCTTTCTTTCCTTCCTTTCTCTCCTTTCTTTCTTTCTTTCTCTTTCTTTCTTTCTTTCTTTCTTTCTTTCTTTCTTTCTTTCTTTCTTTCTTTCTTTCTTCTTTTTCATCCAATAGTTTATCCTCTGTTTTGTTCTCTGCAAACAGGTGTATTAGAACTAAAGGTTAAGAAATATCTAAAAGAGTGCAGAGAGGAGATCAAACTCTTGCATGCATTGTGGACATCGGCTCTTCTTGCTTCCCTTTCATGGAAGCCTAAAAATGTGTCTTCCCAGAAAGGTGATTTAAAATGGCATTAAGTTTGATTTGGGCCAGAGCTTAATGCATAGATAAGTTTCGCTAACTACTTCCAAAGGATTAAAACCAAAGACTTCAAGAATGGCTGCGTAGGAATTTTAAAACAACCAGATCTGTATGGAGCAACTTTTACTCAGCTCTGCGTCAGGTCTATTCATTACGTTCGTATGTTACTCCTTTTGCAAGGAGTTGTTATGACTTATTGCCACTGTGAAAGTCAATGCGGAGGCAGAACGTGAGCAGAAATCTCCGTGACCCAACTCTTAAGTCAACACATGAGTTTAAGATAAGCCTATCGGCCTTGGAAAGTAGATTTTAGTTTGCAAGTGAAATAAAAAAATACCTCGGGTTTTTTTCATACCTAATCAGGGAATTACGTTTCCAACTATTTGCAGTAGCAACCAAGGGAATTTTGTGAAAGTCGGCCAGAAAAATCAGCGTAGTTTTATTGTCAATTTACACCCTTTACACCCACCATTGCTGATTTATGTGAAGATAAAAACTGAGCCCCGAGACTTCACTGAAACAAAATAATTTGAGTCTAGGGCGTTACATTTTCTTATGCAAATATTAAACAGGGAACTGGAAACAGTAAAAACAATGGGGTACCAATAGCACCGTTTTAATGAACACGCTGATTAGAATGTCTTCCTAAAATTGCATTCAATGGTTCGTAAACGGGTTTGCTGACTTGAGATCAAGGTGAAGAAAAACAACAGATTTGGGGCGGGTGCAGGAATCATTAATCCGTGGCGGAGAAGATGGCACCTATTTAGCACCTTCATTAGAGGAGGAGGAGTGGGCAGATTAATTAGATCTGAAGCTATGAAGAGTGGAAGGGGGCAGAAAAATTAGCAAACCCAGGAAGGATTTAATACAGCCAATCACCTTGGGAAGTGATAAATGACGGCGCAGAAGAAAATCACCGTGGCAAAAAGAGGAATGGGTCGAGAGTCCACCATCTCACTTAGCTGAAAATATTTAAACAAACAAACAAATAAAGAAACAAACGAGATGGAAGGGACCTTGCAGGTCTTCTAGTCCAACCCCCTGCTCAGGCAGGAGACCCTATACCATTTCAGACAAATGGCTGTCGAGTCTCTTCTTCAAAACTTCCAGTGTTGGAGAATTCGCAGCTTCTGGAGGCAGGTTGTTCCACTGGTTAATTGTTCTCACTGTCAGGAAATCTATGGGGCTGGTTCTAGATGACACCTTATTTCCTTTCAGGAATCTTTTTTCCCCCCATAGAAACACTAGTCTGAGGGTCCGTGGCAATCCAAAACGGGCAAAAATGCAGGCAAAAATCTGGCTTCCCAAGTTGTGAGCAGCCACCACAGAGAAGACAGGACGGGATCCATCGGCCAGCCCAGAAGCCCAAGCAATTTCTCTCATCCAGAAGTTGCTCAGGCTAGAATTCAGTTAACAACTGTGGCAAGTCATAAAATGGGGCAAAATTCACTCAAGAAATGTCTCACTTAGCAATGGAAATTGTGTTCGTAAGTCAAGGACTGAGCTTTTTTCAACGCTCTGGCTGATGCCAGCGTTGATGGTGTCCAGCCGACCGTGTTCTTTAGTGGCCTGGTTTCCCTTTTACCCCAAACTCTTGCAAACAGAATTGCTTTCACCAGTGAATAAGAATATAACAAGGATCTGTTCGTTAAATCCTTACAACTGCGTGTTTACTTTAGCAGTCCCTGTTCAAACATTAACTAGCCAGAGCCTCTGAATCCTAGAATCCTTCTGGCCAATATAAATGTGCCCCCCCCCCAAATATTTAAAAAAAAAAGAGGGGAGAGAAGAAAAAGAGAATGAAAAACAAGAGGAAGCAGCAAAAGAAGAGAGAGAGAATTATCTATCCCTCCAGCCCCCCCAAACCAGTAAGATTTATTATCGGCTAAAAAAACCATTCTAGGATTATGTTTTCCCTGTTAAAAATAGGAAATATTCTTCCGGAATAGTAATCTATGTTTATCATGCCCATAGGACTGGTAAATATTTCCTATGTCCAAATTGGCCCTTGGCAACTTCCTACTTAATGTCAGGACTTGAAGTTGTGAGGTTTCCTTTCAGCAACTCAAAATGCCAACAAGTTTAAATTGCTTCTCGGATGACTTTTTCACATGCTCTTTGTTTTTTTTTTGAAAGAGGGAAGGGCCCGGAACAGGTTTGCGTTTGCGACCATCCAGTCATTTTTCTCGGAATCTAACTTTTCCTACATGGTATTTTTGTGCGTGTGGGAGGAGTGAAGTCCCATAAAAGACTTTTTGCATGAAGAATATACATTTATAGAGTTCTCTCTCTGGAGACGTTTGCTGTTCAAACAGTCGTATTTCACCATGGTTGAAAGCTTCCCCTACTGCAAAGTTTCCCTACAATTGCCAGTATTAAAAAAATAAATAAAAGATCCTGTTCATTACAAAATGAATGCTTCTAACTGTGCGAAATGCCAAAATGTCCATTTTGCTTTTACTTGGGAGTT